GGGGGCCTAATAAAGTACATATATTCTTGAGCAGCGTGAAAATCTGAATCGATTAAACCATGTCTGACAATGTATGCGTGTTTGTGTGGTGTGGTCGCTGAAATGAAGATGTCGACTTCCAATTTAGTAGAAACAGTGGAGATTGGGCCAAATTAGTCAGAGCACACGCCGGAAAACAGAAAACTCTACTATTTCCGTGTGACAATGGAAAGCATTCGCCATTTCCACACAAAGTCATAAGAGATTAAATTTTATTTTTTCCCCTTTTGAGGATTTATGCTTATTTATCATAACTATTGTACCTTTCTCAAATGAAAATATATTGTGTGCCTGAAAATGTGCGAATTTTAAAATAAATATTGCGGACACCGCGACGTGAGGGATTAATTTTTTCTTAATAATACCATCGATACGGATATCAAATAAAAGAACTTGGTGAGTGGAAGGCGACGAGGTGAGTGTGTTAGTTCTAACTATTTTGGAGGTCATGATTTGATGGATTAATTTTTCTTAACAATATCTTTTAGTCAACGAAAAGGTGAAAGAAAAATTTTGTATAATTCACCTTTTTATGACTATAAATAAAAGCATAGGGCACTAAAGAATTTAATCGTGGTGGGTATGCAAAATTCGACCTCAGCCGAAAATAACTTTCTTACTGGTATTTTAAAATATATTTTTACTTTTTCTATTTCATCATTACAATAAATTTCATATATCTTTATACTCATCACCGAAAGGCGAACGATATATTCAGAAGAAACTTTCAGAAATCTCAGAAACTACCTATATCTTTGATCAGCTTCAAATTCTGAATCGATTTAAGCGCGGCCATCTGTATGTTTTTGTAATTCTGTTATAAACGCCCTCCTAGCCGTAAAAATAAAGCTATCGACTTCAAGTTTGGCAGAAACATTGGAAGCTATAGCATGCATGTTGGCAAAATGAGCCAAATCGGTCGAAGGACACGTTCACAGCACTACTTAAACTAAGAAAACCTCTGTTTTTCAAAAGGAATAAAAAATTTATTTGTTCCTTATTACTCATAAACTATGGCAGATAAATGTACGGAAATTTGAACGTATATTTTATCGGCGATCCTGTAGAAAAATGGCAAAAATTGACCCCGCCGACCCAATATTATAGTGTGTCAAAATATAATTTTTTTTCAATATCTTTATAACGGGCACAAACATCAAAAACCCCACAGAGTACATAAATTCTTGTACAGTTTCAAATTTGGCGTGCGCCTAAGCATGGCTGTCTGTCCTTCTGTCTGCCCAACTGTGTAGCATCTGTAGGAAATATTCCCGGTAGCGAAAATGAATATATCGCCTACAAAATTGCAAAAGAATTTGGAGGCGACTTAAACTTTTTAAGAACAAAAGGACTAAAAGTTTTATTTGGAAAATAGAAAAAATCAGGCTCGTAACTGCATTTTATAGAGCCTGAAAAGTTAGTTTTTACTTTTTTTAACTTTTTTTGGATAACGACGATGGCCCCGAACATAATTTTCTTTAAAATGTGTTTATCAAATCAAAGCGTTTTGCAAGTCCTTTGGTTTATTTAAGTGAGTTAGTGTAGTCCATTCTCATACTTCTTCTTTTAAAATTTTTTCTTTTAATTTTTCCACGATCAACCAAAAAAAGCTTATTTGCGTTTATATTAATTTTTTGTTTCTATTTTTCATATATTAGTTGTTTATATTTATATTGGTTTCTTTAGATTTGGTTTTCAAACATTAGTTTTTTTGCTTACATATATAATAGATCGATTTCCCTGTTTTATCTTATCAAATAACATGTTAAAGCGGGTACTCATTGCGTTCATCACTTAGGACCTACTTCCCCGAAAAACATAATTACGCTTTATTGTGTCTTCTCCCTAACGCAATAAGGCCGTGTTTACATTTTTAGGCCTAGGAGAAATTAATTTTAATAAATTTGATAAAAGTTTTAAAAAAACTAACTTTCTTTCCAGACCTGGGAATATAAACGCAGCCTCGTTGTGATTAGACTCTTTTATTACAATTTCGCTATCCCCTTTAATGTTCACAGTTGTAACAAATTCAGCTTGCTAAGGCGACAAAGTTATTTATATCTCTTTTTAATTTGTTTCACAATGCGGATTCATTTTGATTAAATGTGATCATTATAGTGTGAATGATTTTGCTGCTTGTCGACAAATAACATAGCGCACTTGGCATAATTCTCTGGAAATCAAGTCCAAAGCTGCTATAATTTTAAGAACACCATTTTCATTTCCTAATCTTTTTTTGCTGTCAGTACGCTTTACGCACGTAACAGATAAATTCAAACAGATTTATAATTGTAAAACACACTTTTATAAAAGCCTGTTGAAATTGATTGAATATCGTCGCATCTCAGTAACTGTTCAATACTCCTTTCGATCTCTCTGCCAGCTTCTGTGCGTTGCCACTAACGCCACTTCTATATAGTGGAATTATACAGCTTTTCTTCTAGAAAAAAGAAACGCGTCCACTCTTCAGCGAAATATTAAATAATTTAATCAACGGCTTTGCACAGTTTCCTAATATGCAAGTATGTTTTGCGTTCAGAACTTGCGGATATAAATAATTGCAAATCTCAATAGACAACTTAACAGTAGGATGGCAATAATCTTCAGGAAGTGCCAATGGTAATGTACCATAAATCACAACTTCCGACATATGACAAAAAATGAGATCAGGGAATCTTACCATAACCTTTGATGTACTATTTATTTAATAGATTCCAACTTCACAGAGCCGATCCAAAGTCCACTTGACCCTAGGTAAGTCAACCAATGCTTAGAGAATATTATATATTCTGAAGGTGCAATTCGTACACGTACGAGTCAAAGTCTGAGCGATATAGAAGCAAAGCAGATAAATATATTTATCGTCCAGTTTTAAATGAATGTAAGGAAATTCTATGTCCACTGAAGGAGATTTGATTGAAATTAGTACACTGGCATCATTTCTGGAAGGCCTGTCTTGCTTACATACTTAAAATTGCTGCAAAAAGCTTAGAATTATCGATGTCCGGTTTTAATCAAATTTCAGATATTAAAATGAGGCTTAAGTCACAATCTGTGCTACCTAATTGCAGATTTTACAGTTTAGTCTTAAGTCCTCTTATATGCACAGCAAAGACAAGGAATCAAGCGAATATGGCATACATTTTTGGATTAGAACTGGCTGACTTGATATTAGCTGATTACAGTGCAACAACCCGGTGACGAAGCCTATTTCTGGAAACCAGCTCTGTGGCAATTATCTCTCTAGATTAGAACGGGGTGGTAAAGAAAAGTCCAAGTGTTAGGCAGATTCAGTTTAAAGGTAAGTTGGCCCTTTCTCGGGTATAACTAGCTTTCATGATGAGGTTTTTAAAATCATATGAGATTGCCAATCAGTTGCCGTATTAGGGTACTTAAAGAAATATAAATCGTTTTTCGAAGAGAAGTAACCATTAAAGCACAGGTATTGGTCGGTGTAGGCTTATTCGTAAGTTTATCAACCGTCTCCTGAGTCTGCTGCATGGGACGAGAAATTGCCATATCTGACGCTTAAACCCTGCTGTGGTAAGTTGCTGCAAATAATCTTATTTGATCTTCAAGGACCTTTCATACTTTATCGGATTTTAACCTAAAAACAAGTACGAAAGTTATATTAGCTATAGCCGAATCTCGCATACCCATCAATACGCTTTTCGCATTTTACTCTCCAAGTTCTCTTATTTTATATCAACATCGGTGGTGTTATTAAAAAAAATTTATTGTGGTCTCTACCATGTCCATTTTAAAAATAACCCATTTTTATTCAAATAATATGTGTTGATTTGAGGAGTGTGCAAAATATTTTTAAACATTCTACGTTACGATTAATAAGGATAAGATCTCTAAAAAGTTAAAAAAATAAAATTTAATTTCTCGTATTTTTTAGACGTAAAAAGTGAAAATTTCAGCCTTTTAACTTTAATAATTTCCGAATAACGAGCGAAAATCCAAAAAATTTTGTTACAAAAAAAGGAATTACCTTCAGTTTAAGGTCCAATGCGCCCTTCGGGTCCCACCAATCTGACCCATTTCAATATCAAGCTTCGTGCAGAACCTTCCAATGTTTGTATCAAATTTTAAGTCAATATTTTCATTTTTGCGATCAGGAGAGCGCCAAAAACACATCACACAGACGAGCAGATATGGTTAAGTCCACTCAGAATACCACGCTGATCAAGAATATGTGTATACTTAATAGGGTCTCTGAAACTTCCTTTTGGATGTTACGTACATTACGGAAAAAGACAAAATGATTATACCCTCATCTTACACTGGATATAAAAATTCAGAATTACAATTTTTGTTATAATTCAAGTCAATATTCACCAGTATATCCATGTTTCTCGATATCTTCAATTTTTATCATGGGCTTGCTTACAGAAAAAGGATGCTTAACGGAAGAAGAGGGCGTAGCGAAAATGAACGCAAGAGCAGAAAGAGATATCGAAACACTTCTGTCGATCCTCTACTGCCGGATTTAAATTTATATTCGTCCTGTTGTTTCTTTCATATCACAAGTATTACCATTGCCTACATCACGAAAGGTACACTGTTTTGCTGTGCGTTTGATTCAATCGCGAAAATCGACTTGCGTTCCCTTCTTTCCTCGTAAATGGGATACTCGTGTCAGCCGGATTGACCAACATTTGTTTGGCTAAAATAGAACAGAGAAACATTCAAAAAGAGACTGTTATAACACATATTCTTTTATTAGAACTAACATTTGCGTTATCAGTGCTTCCAGATGAGAACTGTTTACGATCATGTTAGAGAAAACAAAGTAAGGACCCAAATCAAACGCACTATGAAAGCTTGTCAAGCAAATCTCGCAAATCTATTTAATTTTTTGACGAGAACCATTTTCAGTTCCATTTATCCTGCAAAAATTTAATTAGTAAACGTTTCAGTGATTTAATTCTAATTCTATTTAACATTGTTTACAGTTGGCCCTATACGGTGCGGTCGGTTTATTAACTTTCATATTAATTATATGTTATATATTCTATAAACGATCGCAACAAGATAGAGAACGTGAAAAAATGCTATTCGCTCAGAGTTCGTTGGCAGCCGCTAGTGGTGATACGCGTGGCTTGCGATTTCGTAAACGCGATAAAATGTTGTTTTACGGTCGCAGAATGCTTCGTAAGGTAAAAAATGTGTCTGGTCAAATGTATGGCGGTCAGGGTCGCAAACGTAAGGCAGTTATGCGTTTTGCAAAGCGATTGTTGCAATTGCGTCGTGAAAATATACCTTTGCAAATGCGTACAGTGGAACCACCGGCAGAATATTTAGAAGAGACTATGGAGGGTTCAGATCGTGTACCACCAGATGCGCTCTATATGCTGCAAAGTATACGAATCTTTGGTCATTTTGAGAAACCAATTTTTTTAAAATTGTGTAAGCACACTGAAGTTCTAACTTTGGAACCAGGAGATTATCTATTTAAAATAACCGATGCGGATGATAGCGTGTTCATCGTTCAGTCGGGATTGGTAAATGTTTCCATATCGAATGCGGATGGTAGCACTTTGTCGTTAAAGACTGTACGTAAAGGTGAATCAGTTACATCTCTTCTTAGTTTTGTCGATGTCTTATCTGGAAATTCTAGTTATTATAAGACTGTTACAGCCAAAGCAATGGAAAAATCTATAGTGATACGTTTGCCAATGCAGGTGAGCTTTTGGAAAACTTCATATTTTAAATAATGTCGGGATAAAGCAGCGTTCTTCTCTTCATTTCCTTTAGGCTTTTCAAGAAGTTTTCGACGAAAATCCAGATATTATGATACGTGTTATACAAGTGATTATGATCCGTTTGCAGCGTGTTTTATTTACTGCTTTGCGTAACTACTTAGGTCTTAATTCCGAATTGGTACAGAACCATATGCGACCCAAAAAAAATCACAATACACCTGCGAATGTGGCGCAGCAACAAAATCAACCTAAAAATTCCCCCGGTCACAGACGTACCGACTCAACGCCGACACAAATCCACAGTTTATCTGAAATGGCTATACCACCCCCCGATATGTTGGTAGATTTAGCCTATGAGCATCTAAATTCGTCTGCTCATAGTCATGCACACGCAGGCAGTCTTTCAACTCGCAAATATTCTATGATTCCAGCAGAATGCTTAGTGAATGCCTCATCTTTTGATATGCAACTGGTGTACGCGTCAGCAGTGGAGAGCTATCTTAAAGAATTAGGCCTCAATGAAGATGATCGTGCATTATTGGAACAACTTGTAGAGGTAAAAGAGATTGATGCAGATGCCACACTGATTACCGAAGGAGATTCGGAAAATGTTTGCATTTTCTTTGTAATGACGGGTTGTTTGACAGTTCATCAAATTGGACCAAATCCCGTACGGGTTGTCAAAGGTGACAAACCGGAGGTTTTCATACATCACGTGCATCCCGGGGAGATTGTTGGGGCATTAGCTGTGTTAACTGGTGAAGCCAGCGCCTACACTATCAAGTCTCTGTGTAGCAGTCGTGTAGCTTTACTAACAAGATCAGCTATTTACCAGTTAATGCGGGAACGTCCGAAAATTGTTTTGGATTTGGGTAATTCGGTGGTTAGACGTTTGTCCCCATTGGTAAGACAGTGTGATTATGCTCTTGACTGGATTTTTTTGGAATCGGGTCGTGCGGTTTACCGGCAGGACGAAATGAGCGATAGCACTTATATTGTACTGAGCGGTCGCATGCGTTCTGTAATAACGCAGGCAAATGGCAAAAAAGAAATTGTCGGTGAATATGGCAAAGGCGACCTTGTGGGTATAATAGAAATGATTACGGAAACTGGTCGCACTACTACCGTGATGGCAGTGCGGGATTCTGAACTAGCCAAATTGCCTGAGGGTCTTTTTAACGCCATTAAATTACGTTATCCTATAGTGGTTACAAAGTTAATCAGCCTATTAAGTCATCGCATATTAGGCACCATGCAAACGCGTTCGGGAAGCTCAGCTGCCCCTCTAGAAGCCAACCCAGTTACTCATAAATACTCTACGGTGGCTTTAGTTCCTGTAAACGATGAAGTGCCCCTAACCGCGTTCACCTATGAACTGTTTCATTCATTATGTGCTATTGGACCTACGCTGCGACTAACATCCGAAGTGATACGAAAGCAGTTGGGCGTTCAAATATTCGAGCAGAGCAATGAATACCGTTTGACATCTTGGCTAGCTCAACAAGAAGATCGTAACACTATTACTTTATATCAGTGTGATGCTTCTCTTAGCGCTTGGACTCAGCGCTGTATGCGACAAGCTGATGTTATACTTATAGTGGGTCTAGGTAATGGGCCATCCTCGGTAGGCAAATTTGAAAGAGAAATTGACCGCTTAGCTATGCGCACACAGAAAGAATTAGTACTACTCTACTCCGAAACAGACAGTTCGAAACCGTTAAATACTTTGCAATGGCTCAATGTCCGCCCTTGGGTTACCAAACATCATCATATACAGTGTGTAAAGCGCATGTTTAGCAGGAAAAGTCAATATCGTATTGTAGGTGGTTTACATATTTAAATTAAATAGAATTTAACGAATTTTGAAACGTTTACAGAACGACTTATATAGCCGTGTGTTGATGTCTGAGCCTAATATGCATTCGGATTTCTCACGTTTGGCACGATGGTTAACGGGCAATTCAATTGGACTCGTGTTGGGTGGAGGTGGTGCGCGTGGTGCTGCTCACATTGGCATGTTGAAAGCTATACAAGAGGCTGGTATACCAATTGACATGGTGGGTGGCGTCAGCATAGGTGCTCTGATGGGTGCTCTGTGGTGTGCAGAACGCAATATTACAACAGTTACACAACAGGCTAGAGAATGGTGTAAGGTAGGTTGCAAAAAAATTTTTACAAAATATGGAAATGCAACTTAGTCCACTACAACGTAGAAAATGACTAAATGGTTTTTGCAACTTCTGGATCTCACTTATCCCATTACTTCGATGTTTTCGGGTCGTGAGTTTAATAAAACCATTCGCGATACAATTGGAGATGTTAGTATTGAAGATCTTTGGATTCCTTTTTTCACTTTAACTACTGATATAACTGCCAGTTGCCGTCGTATCCATACTAATGGTAAGTTTTCATTTCATGTGATGGTTTATTTTGCATTTCGATTCGTCCTCTTTTTTTTTAATTCAAACAATATGCATTTTTACTACAATTTTACACAAATTACAATTATTTTTGTTTCTCATTCCGTACTAAGTAGACAACGCAAATGTTAACGAATTGAAATTTATTGGAAAATACATAACACTTGCATATTCTGAGACTTTTTTTTCCTTTTTTCCACTTTTTTTTTTAATTTTCTTTTAAACGAAACTTCAAAAAATTTGTATAGATCTAGTTTTCAATTATTTCCTAAAATATATAATTACAATTGCGTAGATGCTTCTATCCTATCATAACTTTCGAATACTACTCATTTATTCTACATGTACATACTGCTTTGCTTGTAGTCAGTGAATATATCCTTATGCTAAGCCAAATGTTTCAAACTTTCAGTTCTCAAGTATGTCCATATGTTAGATTAACTGCAAATCATTAATTACTTTATTAACTAAAGATTAATATTAGCTTGGGGAAAAAGAAATCCATTATTTTTTCGGTAGATGGCTGCACTGATAGATTTCTCGTAAAGTATCGATCAAACAATTTCAGATTTATGCTCGTTGGAAAGGTGACAATTCGCAGTAAAAAAAATTCTTTTGCTGTTTTTTGTCTGGTGCATTCAGTTGTGAGTTACGGCGTGTTAAAAATGGAAGTGAACAAAGAGAAAATTCGGTACATTTTACAGTTTTTCTTTGACAAAGGCGAAAATGCAAGCCAGGCGGCTAAAATTGTGAATGGTGTTTATGGTTCCGATACTGTAAAAGCCAATTATGTGCAATTTTGGTTTCGTAGATTCCGTTCAGGAATTTTTGATGTTAAAGATGCACCTCGCACAGGTAGGCCGGTCGTCGAAAATGTCGATAAAATCGGAGAAAT